AAAAAAGAGGCAAGATATTAATTTATATGGAGTAAAATAGGAAGATTTTTTTTACAGAATGATATAAAAATTTTTTTTAATTAAAATATCAGTTGTGCAGAGTGAATCAAAATTGTACTCATTTGATTTTTTGAATTTATCATCTATATAATTTTCAAAAAATCATTATATCTATTGTTTATTTTTATTATCTTTTTGATATTTGATATCTTTCAACTCTGCCTTAGAAATCATATTTTTTTATTAACCATTAATATATGAATAATCTTCAACAATTGAGGAATTTAAAAAAAAAAAAATAGAAAAATTATGAGCGTCCAAATAAAAAAAAAAATTAAAAATATTTGATAAAAAAAAAGAGACATGAAGGAAAGTTTCAGATTTTTATCATATAACGTTGTATAAATACTTAAGCTGTAAATACAAAATACAAATAAGACATATTCATTTTCAAGATATAATAATAATTAAGTTATTGATATTATTTCATATGATATGCAAGTTTATTCAGTAGTTATAGAAACATTAGTTCCAATATGCATGCCTTTAAAGTATTCTTTTTCCATCTTTTTTTGTATCTTTATATGAATTAAAAAAATTTTTTTTTTTCATAATTTTCTGCTGTTCGTGTGCAATGATAAAACTAACTTTCCTGAGACTTTTTTCAGAACAACATCACACAGAAAAATAACGTTGTTAAATTAATTTAAGAAGGATCTTACATTAATGTTTAAACTATAAATATACAGACTGTGATAATTCTAATATCTATTATTATAAACCAGATATGTAAAAGAGTCCTGAATGGAGGACTCTTATAAAAGAAGGAATTGGAGTGGTACAAAAAAAAACATGAAATCATTTTCAGATTTCACATTTGATATATACATTGTATGTCACCAATTTTTTTTATATCTTTTAGGCACTTGCATAAAGATTGATACTCTCTTATTTAGGATTATATAATATAATTAGAATTTCATATTTTTCACATAAAATTTTTTTTTATTTCATTTTTTGATAACAAAATTAGCAAAATGATATTTTAAGAAATTACTTACTTGTGATACATAAAATATACATTTGCAAATCTCAATATGCAAAAGAATGGGAATATTTGGAACTACATATGTTAAAACAAAGAGTAAAGGCCTCTAAAGTCAATGTATTGTAGTCGAAGATTTTCATATAATAATTTATATTTTATTTAGTGCGTATAGCGTTTTGATGATGCGGCAATGTCTGTATGTGAGAATCTGTATATAATTTATTTAATAAAGCGTATTCATGCTGTCATGCAGTATTGTTCATACATGCATGTATCCTAACAACAAAACAAATATATAACAAATATATAATTACAAAAAAATAACAATTTATTATTTTATATTTGTATCAGTTTTTTTTTTAAAAAGATAATAATTGTCTCACTAAATATATTCAGCGTAAACTATTCTTTGTATATTCAATGATCAGAATTTTATAGATCGGTAACATTCGACAACTTTCGACTTTCTTCGGATTTTCTCGGGTTTTTATAATATAGTACGTATACATATATATATATATATATATATATATAATTCGCTATACTGATAACCGTTGATCACGTTGACAGGCTTTTATATTCTACGAATTAAAATTATTTTGACTGTCATTTAAATTATGAAAAAAAACGACTGATTAAATAATTACTGTTCAATTTTCTTCAAAGACTGTCAATGAAACATGGTAAAAAGTGATCGTTTTAAGATTATTTGATGAATTAATTAGGGATAGAAAGAAAGCCGCAGATTTATTACTTACATCGTGAAAATTAATTCGAAAGTCTACATCTTGTGAATCGGTATGTCTCATTCGTTTTTTTTGTTCCCATAAAGTCAATTGTTTAATCTCTATAGAGCTTGATTTTTTATTGAAACTATATATATAATATTATATAGTTTATATAGTAAAATGTTCAAATAATTTCGATGTCCTTTAGAATCACATGTAAACTCATCGATCAAAAGGGAATGTTTATTTTGTTTCATTCTGTCTTTGAGTCTCGAACGGATATCGCAAAGGTTAGACCGATCGACAATACGATTACTTGACGACTTTGTAAGTATATGAATGTTTTATCAATTTATTTCATTCATTCACATAATAATATATATATTTATTATTTATTATATTATTATTTAATTTATAAAAACTATTTTTTAAATATATATTTATAGTTTAAAAACAAGGAAAAATAAAATTTTTTTTTAATTGGATAATTATTTGATCTAAATTTCGTTTTGTAATTTTATTTCTATTTTTACAGATATATATTATGATTATTAAAATAATAAAAAAATTTTATGAGATAATTTTTAAAATACTCACTTAATAAATTCATATGATATAAAATTTATATTTTTTTAAATATCTTAGATTTTGAAGTAAACAATTAAAGTATATAATGGCGGGCAGTGGAGAACTTTGGGTACAATGTTTTACCTGTTGTTTAATGCAACAAGGACCTAGAACACGTAATGGAAGGCAAAAGTCACATCAGAGACTAAGGATAGATCGTAGTATGATAGGAGTACCTACAAACTTTAGACATACTGGACATATTAGTAGTGGAGATCTTGATATGAGCAGTGCACAATTATCAAATATTCAGGCACAAATGCAAATGAAAGGAGGCTATGATAATGCATATAGTGTTAAGGTACATAATAAGCAAATTTATATTATAAGAAAATAAATTATATAAACTTATAAAATTATTTATTCTATAAATTATTTTTATTCTAGGCATGTTGAAGATAATGCATTTTGTTGCAAATTATTTTTTCAAATTAATCACAAAATAATCACAGCAAATAATTTTATAACAGAAGTAAAAAAGATGACACTTATGTTCTCTTTATGAAGATGAACATATATGCAGCTATATTACATTTTCAGAAGATGTTCAAAGAAGATACATTAAATATGTTTAAGAATAAGACAAACAAGAACAAATTCTAAAATATTTTTACTTCTTGATATTAAATACATTACGTTAAGTTATTCTCATTTGTACAAAAATGATTTTACAACTAAATTTAATTTTCTAATTATAAAAGAGCATTTAATTTGCATATTTTTAAAATGTTATTTTCATTAAGACTGGATACTTAATAGAAACAAAAACTGCCATATTATACATACAACTTTTTCCATGCATTTTTTTATAACATTTAATTATTTTTCCATTTAAAAAAAAGTCAATGTTTATTGGTGCAAAATTATAACATAATAACATAATTATTATGTTATATGTTACTTGTATTTATTTCTTTTTTTGATACAAGAACAATATTTACAGTAGTAGATTTACTAATAATATATATTAGATATTATTCTTATATTTGCAAATGCAAATGTAAGTACTCTGTGTTATTTACTAGTACTTTTTGTAAAAAGAAAATGAAGAATATATTTTGCATAGTTCACCTGTGCTGATTAATGGATAAATATTTTTAGCATGTATATGGTGAACATTCATGTTCACAAAGCACGGCCCATTTTTCCTACTTCTGTATTCATCCCTAAATAGGGTATATAAACCTACATTAAGAAATTTTTGGAATGTAGATGTGTCAAAAATTGAGAAACTGATTTATATGTATTTGCCTAGTCTAAAATCATTCTATTAAAAACTTTATGAATTATGCTAGCCATTGTTTTATAAATGTTGTAATCTTTCAAGAATGGACTTATCTTTGTATGAGATATAAGGAAAACAGGGGGTTTAGAAGAAATTCTTTGAAACAAAAAAAATCTTATTTTGAACCAATGTGTATAAATTATTAATAATTCTAAAAAAAAATGATGATTTATATATATATACTTAATATCATAAACTCCCTGTATATTATAAATATTTACTTATGCTTTTGAAATTTGGATGAAAGAAAATTTTAATTCATAATGTATAATGTTGAAACAATTGTAGAAAGTCTTGCAATAAAATAATAAATATAATTGTAAGTATTATATTTAATGTGTGTAAGAATAAACTGTGTATTTTCAAAGTAGAAGGCATTTTAATTCCTTTGCATAGATATAAATATATTTTCTAAATTTTTGAAATAGTAAACAATTTATATTTATTTACATTTACATTTATCAATGATATAGTATGTTATTTAATCTTTTTTTTATCATATTTTTTTTTTAAAAATAAGTATATAAGACATAATATATATTAAATTATATTACATAATTTTTATTTTATGCAAAATATCAGTATAACAAATGATATTCTTAAATTAACAATCACAATATTGATCAATAATATCAATAATATCAATAATATCAATATTTATATCAATTATTAATATATTACATAATTAATAGAATATATTATGAGAGAATCAAAAATCTTATTATAATAAATCACTTTTTTATTATTATTATTATTATAATCAAATATCACTAAAACATATAAAAATAAGTTGTACTTTAAAACATATCATTCATATGCATATATAAACGGATATTTTACTTTTTCAAATTAAATATTAATTATAAAATATTGATGATTAAAGAAGTGCTATATAAAAAATATTTTAAAATTTAAAGATCAAAAAATAATTTAAGCTCTATATATTTTTTTAAGTTTTAATTTTTACATGATATAAAAATAGGAAAGGAAATATGGTATTAATATTCTATATATAAAAATTATATATAAATTATAATATTGTACTTTAACTTGGAATGCTTTATAATTTGTTTTTTGTTTTTTTTAATTTATTGTTAATTATAATTAAATATATATATAATTTATTATTAATTTATTTTTTAATAATGAATTTTTAATAATATTTTTATAATTATTAAAAAACTTCTATCAATATTCAAAGTGAAATTGTTAGGATTAATTTTTCGCTTGTATTTGCTTATATTATTAATATAAATAATTAATTCCTTTTTTAAATTATTTAGTGGACCAATCAAGCATAAGATATCCATAATAAAAAATTAAAATTTGATTTTATTCGCGAAACAATTACATAAAAAATGACTGTCAAGTATCTATTACTTTACATTAATTGCTCCATTAAAAGTTGATATTTCATCGCGTTTGCGTCTCTGACGTGACGATTCACGAACGATTAACTTTGGCTTTTAAAACTCATTCGTGTATTTGTAGTAAATGTTACATAGCAACAACAACTTGATGGAAGTAAGAAAGTATCTGGAGACATTGAACCGTTTGACGATATAGACAGAAGTTCTCTTTGAATATATTTTTGTTTACAAATTGATTTGTAACCTAAAGGAAGATTTCCTATCACGTTACATGTTGTGTCTTTTTTTCTACAAATAAGATATAAAAATATTTATATCATTTTTGAAATATATAATTTAAAAAAATTGTAAAAAAAAAGTTCAATTTCAATACTTACTGACATATTTCAACTCGTACACCTTGTTTAAAATTTTCTTGGTTCGCAATATATTTCCATTCACTATCTTTATTTTGTGCTGATTTAGGAAATATAACTCGCTCCTTAAATAACAAATAAATATTTGTATCAAATTTTAATTTCATTTTTACAAAAAGAAAATGTTATTATTTATACCTACATTAGACTGACAAAGAGGGCTGTCGTCCATGAAATCGATTCTCTCTGATATATCAGACAACTAAAATGATAAAATATTTGTATAATAAATTGAAAAAATTGATTAAAAAATTTAATATTTAAACAAATTTTTAAATATTAAAAATGATTTAATAAGATAATAAAAAAAACATAAGAAAAGACTTACTATATCTACTGTAGCCAAGTATTTAATACTTCGTTTTTTTGAATCGCAGTATTTACAACATCTTCAGGATAAGAATCTACTTTTTCGCAAAAAGTAGATCCTCTACAGGAAGGTACTTTTTTTTGATCAGGAAAAACAATTTGAGCATCTGATAACATACTTTCCCTTTGTGATAAGCCTAGTAAAATATTGAAAATCAATTTTAAAATTATTAGAAATTAAATGTAATTTATGATTAATTATTGAAAAATTATTTTATTTATTGAAACATGTTATTTTCCAACGATACTCTAAAAGCATTATTTATATATAACTGTTTACAATTCATACCTTCTTTTTCTTGAATTCTTGACAAAATTTTGAATGACGCATTACTATCTTCATAATTTGAAGCGTATCTTTCTATTCTTCTTCCTTTTTTACTTTCAAAATCAATTTGTGTACCATTTTGATAATTTTGATGGGGATATGCGTAAATATTTTTGCTCATCTATAAAAAGTAAAAACCGAAATAAAAAATTTTTATTAACTATACATTTTTAGAAGTATTAAAGTTTTATTATTTTTGCGGAGAATTGTCAATTTTTGTTTATATTTATCTTTATTAAGATAAAAAAATTAAATTTTTCATTACTTTATCCTTTTTATTTATTACATTTATTTCCTTTTGTTATTGTTAAATATTATATTATTCAAACTTCAAGCCAGAATAAATGTATAAATAAGTAATATTTAATGATATTTTTTAAATAATATTTAACGATTTTTTTTACTTAAATATGAAACTAATATATTTTTATCTATTATATTATATTATTTTTATATTTAAATAAAAAAACAATATAAATGTTTATCAATAAAGTAATATACTAGAATTGCAGAATTAATATAAACATAAAGACAATCTATATAAAAAAAAAATATAATCATATAAACCAATGGCAAGAGAATTTTCAATGATAACGAAGTCATCGCAAAACATTTATCACATACACAATATTAATCGCTTATTCTATCTGAAAGTTATATTATTTTTTATTTCAATTATTTCTATACAAATGCCAAAAAACGTAATAATTTATCTTTAAAAAAAAAATAAAAATATATTTTTATTGTATCATATAAAATATTATCGTATTCTAAGAATTATAAGTATCGTATTGAAATGATATTGAATATTTATGAGAAATATACACAATATCTTTCATTCTTTCCTCTAATTGTTAATCTTTAAATATAAGACAAGGAAAAATTGAAAGTAGAAAAGTTGAATTGAAAATTAATTTCATTTGTTTCTCTTATTATTTGTTTATCAAACTTCGTGGCAAAATTAATATAATCTATTTGATTTAAAGCAAATTTACTCTAACTACTAATATTCTATTACACGACGATAACAAATCTCAGATTACGTAAATATAATGGACCGTCCGTTAATTTTAGATCTTTTGTAATATTTTCTATGTTTAAAAAATATAAAATTTCTTTCTATCAATACAAAACGATTGATTCTGATTTATGTTACATTACAATTTTTTAAATTCTTCTTTTTAGATATTGCGAATGAATTGTTCAATCATAGTGCAATTAAATTTCATTAATAATACAATAGATACGACATATATATATACGAAATATCAGAAATGAGAGTTTGTTCTTTGTAAAACAGATTTAACGATATTCTAAACGAATGGCAAAATACATGTAAATAATAATCTTTATCTTTATTTTAAATAATCAGATTATTCATAATTTTAATTAATATTACACTATATTACAAAACTATTAATAATATATATATCTATAAAAAATATTATTTTCTTACCAGTTCTATCAAAAAACAAAGTTCAATGAGCACAAAAATCAGACCACTGCATCTTTGTTCAATATTTTTGTATTTAAAAATCATCTTGTTATTTTTAATATACAAAAATTCGCGAAATTCACTGTTTTTAATTAAAAATTTAAAAAAAATATAGGCAATTATCACTCGTTTAAATTAAATTATTATATATTTTTTTTTTTTAGTTGATTAAGTTCTAAAGGAAACAAATTCTCTTCGAACCCTCGAATCACTCAATGATCCTACGCGTTCAACTGACCGCACGCGATTGACTTGTTCCGTTGTTCCATCAGGGAACTTTGTATATACCAGGTGGAGTTCTCATCACTCTAACGGCTTGTAATCGTAGCTTTAATGCCTTAAGCAATGGAGCGACTTCTATAGTGCATATATATATATATATATATA